ATGTACAACTATTGCTGATAATTGAACACCTTTAGAATCTGTTATCTCCAGGAAGGTGCCGCCATGGGACCATATCAGTCGAGGTGAGGATTTTATTCAGTCGTCACCTCCACTGCCGATTGATTTTAGATATTCATCTTTGTTTTCTTTGCTTTCAAGATATCGTCAACCACCAAGGAGATCTTCAATGCAAACTTTCAGTTGGATTTGTGTTGGCGAGTTTCCTCAAGGTAAGTTTTTTCAACCCTCAATCCTCCATTCTTTTTTCTATAATTAATGAACTAATTACCTAACTTCCCATTGTAATTGTTTACAGATTTGTCATTCAGTTTTCGGATTATTTCGCTACAGGTGCCCTGTCAGAAGCAGCAGTCTCCGGTTGCTCCATGTGGCTAGTCAGCTTAAAGAAGCCTAAGAAGATGCAGCTTTACGACATGTGCAAAGTTTCTGAATGCTCTCATTTCTGAACTGGTGAAGAGATATATTTTATGATTTACGCTGTGATAATTGACAGCAAATATCCTCTGCTGCTGTTTATGGATAAATACTATGCTATTCTATCTAGTTGATTCTTTTCCTGTAAGCTTTGAAAATAAACCAATTACTATGCACTTGTGATCTTTTTATTTTAATGTCCATAAGTACTTTTGTACTTTATTACTTCAGTTGTCAAAGCGATGAGGCCGGCACTACTTAGCAAAAGTTATTGTTCCTCTAAATCTAAACTTTTTGTTGCTGATGCTAAAGCCGTCCAGTTTCTAGTTTGGAGTACTTTCATTGTGAAGCCTGACTGATAGTGATAAGGCCACTATCTCTACTCTCAAAATACGGAGCTGAAATATATAATTTCTTCACCGATTTTCGTGTCTTTTCCTCTAACGGAGCTCTCAGAATGAATGTTTGTCAAGGTGATACGAAAGGGACGCCCCTGACGATTTCCGTAGTTTGGTTCTTGCACTTGGGCGCCGCCAGGGTGGGCAGCCGGCTCCGGAGGGCTGTTCGGCGGGTGTGCCTACCCAGGTGTTTGCAGGCGGCAAGCTGACTCCGAAACGGGCGGTAGGTGCTTGGTTTGTTCTGCCTCGGAAGTCATTACCTAGTACCTGACTATAACTAAAGCTGAAACTATAACTGAGAATTTTAAATAAAACAATGAGCGCTAAATCGTACTCGTGTCAAACTGTTCCCCCGAGATTCGACTCCCGGCTAGGGCAGATATATATTTTATCTCCTTCACTTCTGTGGCAGCTGAGGATGCTAAATTGTGACCAGTCTGAAACTGTCTGGGGTTCGACTCCCGACCAACGCATTTTTTATTTTTTTTAAATTTGCCCCTTTTCGTCCCCCGTAATGCAGGACCGAGGTTTGGACTCATAGGAGATGACGAACGGACAGCCGAGCGCACTAAAATATCATCGTCTGAGATCATGCGCCCGGGGTTCGACTCCCGGCTAGCGCAATTTTGTTTTCGTCGCTTCTTGTTTCGTGTAAGACTAAAATATTGGGTGGCAAAAGCTCGAAAAATGTGGGATGAACGTTATTCGAACCAGCGGCCGTCCACGCCCCGAGCGACGGACACCCGGTATGTCGGTGAGTATGCCGTAATTATTGCTCTCCCCCGTTGCCGTGCCGCGTCCCCTACCCCTCTCCTC